CAAAGCAATAGATGATGATTAAAGCGGTGAATAAATGATAAATGTTAAACTAAAGCAATAGATGATGATTAAATGATAAATGTCAAAAAAAGGAAAAGATGATTACATAAATATTAAACCAAAGCAGTGGACAATGATCAAATGCTAAATGCTAAAAGATAAAAACAAAATCGATGAAGACCAGAACGTATAAAAAAGGAAGAGGATCACAGCGCGATGTCGGCCGTAATTGTGTGAAGAAAAAGACGCTTTGCAGCCGCGGTGGATCTGCCATCGTGCATTATGCAGTATTCCCTGTAATTCCGGTTTACGCATTAACCCGTGTGTGTGTAGGATGCGAGGCGAGTGATCGTGTTAGGCGACGTGGTGTATTGTTTTGGTGGTGGTGGTGTTGGTAATTGTGGTAGTTGTGGTATTAGTTGTTGGTAATTGTGGTGTTGTTGGTAGTTGTGGTATTAGTGTTGTTGGTAGTTTGTGGTATTAGTTTGTTGTTGGTAATTGTGGTAGTTGTGGTATTAGTTGTTGGTAATTGTGGTAGTTGTGTATAGTTGTTGTTGGTAATTGTGGTGTGTGGTATTGTTGGTAGTTGTATTAGTTGTTTTGTTGGTAATTGTGGTAGTTGTGGTATTGTTGTTGGTAATTGTGGTAGTTGTGGTATTGTTTTTGATTTTGGTAGTAGTTGTAGTTGTGGTAATGGCAATATTAGTGATTGTTGATACTCATAGTCGTGTTAGTTGTCATTTATGATTAAATAGTAATAATGGTAATAGCGGTGATAGTGATAACGATGATAATGGTTATGGATGCGGGCAGTTATTATTTTTAGAATTATCCATGTTATTGTTGTGTTATTATTATTGTTGTTATTATTATGATGATTATTGGTATTTTATATTGCTAGTATTAGTAGTAGTGGTAGTAGGCGTGGTTAGAGTAAGAATAGTAATTTTAGTAGCATTTTTTTATCAGCATTATTGTTCTCAGTCGTTATTTTGTTTTATTATTGTTATTGTTATCATTTTTCTCTTATCACCAGTGTCATTATCTGATTGCGCTATGGTGCAGACTTCATTCTCTTCAAGAATGAGGCCTATCATAATATATTACATCATCACCATCATCATCGTCATCGTCACCATCAGTGTCATCATAATCACCACACCACCATCATCACCATCATCGTCATCATCATCACACAATTATCATCATCATCGCACATCACATCACCATCATCATCACATCATCACGACATCATCATCATCACGTCACATCATATCATCACCATCATCGTCATCATCCAACCACCACCACCATCATCATCATATCATCATCACCGTCACAATTATCATCACCACCACCATCATCCATAATCACCACCACCATCAATCATCACCGTCACAATTATCGTCATCAACCTATCACCATCATCGTCACAATTACGTCATCCATCACCATCATCATCATCATAATCAAATTAACGCATCATCGTCATCATCACCATCATCCCGTCGTCATCACATACTCACCTCATTCCCCTCCTCATCAGAATCCTCAGCCGTCACTGAACTGTGATTAACCTACGTCTCGCTTCGTGTGGAAATTCGCGGATGAGGTTAGCATGCAAGCCCTCTTTGCTTTGGCTTGCTTTGTTTGCTTGCCTTTGCTTTGTTTGGCTTGGCTTTCTTTGGCTTGCTTTGTTTTGGTTTGGTTTTGTCTTTGTCTTTCTTTTGCTTTGGTTTGCTTTGTCTTCTTTTGGCATGCTTTGTTTTTCTTTGGCTTGCTTTGGTTTGGTTTGGTTTGCTTTGTCTTTCTTTTGCTTTGGTTTGCTTTTTCCTTTGGC